TCCCCCACTCAGAATAAGAAGTACAGAAGTACACTTGCATTGGTTCAGCTGCTCAAAAATGCTAGGATTCCAAAGCTTCTAACCTTCTACTCAACCATTTTTAGAAGGTTGAGTCTAAGACCACATGCTTGTCACAACATGGCTGCAACAACTCCAGGTATATCTACCACATTCCAAGTATCATCATCTTTGCTCACATCTACCCTTTTTATTAAGAAACAGCCTTTTCTATATAAATCCCCTATACATTCTCTATATACTTCATTGGGCAGACCTAGGCCACATGGCCACACTCAGATGTAAGGGAGGCTGGAAAGAACCATCACCTGGCAAAGGAGAATAGGATAGCTATGACTAGATTGGAGAAATTCTGAGCCTTCCCCCTGGACTGGACATACTGCTTCTTTTAAAAAAAAAAAATCAGTTTTTCTTACCACAGGGCATTGTTAGGAAAAGCCATTGGGTTAGCAATCAACAAATCCAGTGAGAAAAAGCAGAGTTGGTTAGGTTGAAAACACAGTCAAGGATAAGGATTGACTATGCCCTGAGGGGAATAAACTCACAAGCATTGAGCCACATACCATTTCCAGGACTTTGGTAACTTCTGCCTTGTTCAGGTCTCACAACAATCCCATAACAGGGGCAGCCGGCATTGTTTCCATGTTATGCATGAGGGACCGGAGACTCAGAAGAAAAGGTGAGGTGGCTTGTTTGGGGGGTCCTATTAGTGCCTTCACAGCACATTACTTTACCCCTCTGCCATGGGCCATAGTTCTTTCTCTGGCTTACTAAGATCACTTTCTGAAACATGAACAGGGAAAGAAAAAGAGGTCCACTATCTCCTAAGCAGAAGCAGACAAATTTTTATGCTGGCTCCTTCTCTAATGATGGAGTCTTCTGGCAGAGGTGGAGGCATTAGGGTAACCTAGAGCAGAACTTGCCCTTCATTGCAGCTATTAGCAATCTGCACATCCAGGTCATGTGTTATCTTGGATTCTACTAACTCAGTCAGGCATTGTTAGATAGTGTGGAGCCTGACACTTATATCTGGGGATCTTGGCAATGTCACCATCCTCAGAGTTGGCTTTCTTGCTGCCAGTATTTCCAGCAGTTTTGACCTTTTTGTCTTACAGAATGAATCTAATGTGCATTCAACACCTCCCCCTCAACTACCTGCAGGCCCAGTTCAGATTCTGCTATGAAATTTCTCAGACTTCTCAGGCTCCCAACTTCCCTCCAGGCCTTGAATACTGTACCATCCATAGAGGCAAACAGTTCTTCTTGAACACTGCAATGTTTTACTCACCACCAGGATCTCATGAAACCACCTCTCATCCATCCTGAATCACCATCCTTTAAGGGCCTCCTTAGAGGTATCTCCTGCCCTTCAAACCTTCTGTGTGCCCTTTTTTTTGAGATTTTTAAAATTTATTTATTTATTTATTTATTTATTTATTTATTTATCAGAGAGAGAGAGAGAGCACAAGCGGTGGGGGTGGGGGAGGGGCGAGGCAGAGGGAGAAGCAAACTCCCCACTGAGCAGCGACCCCGATTCGAGGCTCCATCCCTGGGATCGTGATCTGAGCCAAAGGCAGAGGCTTAACCAACTGAGCCACCCAGGTGTCCCATGTGTGCCCTTCTTAAATATGCAAAATGCATGGTTGCAGCTCATCTACTATTTAAGATCACAGTTCTTTTTGTCTTAGCATGCACTGAGGAACACGGATGGGGATAGAGCATTCTGTCATTAGCACCACTCAGAGCTAAGCCTTTAGATATTCAAAAATTGTATTAATACATTTAATTTCACCTATACACATATACCCTGCCAAACTGGCAAAAGAAGCTAAAGCAGTTTAGAAAGCTAAATAATATAGTTATACGAACACCAGTTAAAGCAAGGTGCCAAAAGAAATACAAAGCTAGAAATCAAACACTAACCTTTAATCCGGGGACTGTCAGAAGCCATTTGGGGTCTTAGTCACTTGCCAAGTGACCATGCAGTCTTCTGTGAATATATTAGTGTGGCAAAAGTCACTGGTAGAGCTAGTAAAAGCAGTCTCTGGAGGAAATAATTCATCCAAGTCTCTGTTAGAGACTTTAGGAAGCTTTTTTACTCAGTGTAAATGAGTGTGAAAAAAGAGCTTTAAGTGGATACATATTGGATTCATATTGTATCAAGTGAGAGATACAGTGACTCGATTGTGTACAGCAGCCTGACCATGGGCAAGTCTTTTTGTTTGCTTTGCCCTCTCATGCTAAAATTGGGGGACAGGTCTCAATATTCTCTGCATATGCTTTCGAAGTTCAGCAGTCAAAGAAATACCTTCATTAGATGGCTGAGAAACATCTTCAAATTTTCTGCGTATGTAAATTCTGGTTGCTTAATATGAGTCTGCAGAAAATAAGGGGCTTTGCTGAACTCCTTTTTATTGATGGCTGATTCTTAGAGCCTGAACTTTTTGTCCACTAACTTATAAAAGAAACCATACAACATTTTTAAGGGTAAGTTAAGCAGATATTGTAACTAAAAACTAGAACAAATGGAAATATACCAATAGTCTCAGCAGAAAATAAAAAAGAACCCTGTCAAACATAAAATCTGGATTAATGTGAACATGTTCAAATGCTCAGGTTTTGGCAGAACTTCTTTGGTCGTTAGAGAGTTTCTTTTTTAATGGTCATGAAATGGTAACTAATCATCTCCCTGCTACCAAACAGCCCATTTCAACTAAAATGAGTTGAATATTTGAACTGTGAAATGTTTATAAGTAAACCTTATAAAAAGCAGGCTCTTGTATTGCAGTACACCAGAATCAAGACATTGTGAAAGGAGTGTCTATTTTGAGAAAGGATTTGTCTTTTGAAGATAGGAACAGTAATCGTAGTAAGTATTAAAAGCACGGGCAGTTTGTTCTGGGTACCAGAGAAAGATGCTCAAAGTGAGTAATGTGGGAGGTCTGCTAACTTCTACCCAATCCAAACCTTCTCTTTTCTTTCTTTTTTGGGTCTCTGCTGAAATACAGAATAAGTTGGCCCCTTTCCCTGAATTTCAGGTTTGTCCCATAATGACCAGAGAAATAAAGGAAGAGGCTGGGAGAAAAGCTGCCAAGAGCCAATGGGTTGACATTTATTGAGAAAGCCTTAAGCAGGAAGTTCACATGTATCACAGCATGTAGCCTGACTTGGGGAGATTCTACATTATCTTGGTTGCCAGATGAAGCTCTGAAGACAGGTAAGTTAAACTGGCAATAGGGAACCTCTGAAAGGACACAGCTCTGTACGCACTAGGGAAAACTAGTGTGTTTGTGAACAGCCCCATGTTTGCAGTATTGGAGACCACCATCAGATATTAAGAACTAGAAAGGAAGGCATTCAGGACGTTAGAAAGAAATGTTACCATGAGTTTACATCCAGTTTCCTAAAGAGCCAGGCTGGTGTCTCCAATCACCTGGATGATCTGTTTCTCACTGAAATGAAAAGAATTAGTTTCTGACATCTATTTCCAGAGGTTTATGTCCTGGTCTCTGAAGGTGTGTGTACACACACACACAGTTCAGAGCTCCTGGTGGAGAATTTGCTATTCAACTGGCTATTGAGAAAGACATTAAGGAGCCAGTTTTTGAGGGGAAATTATCCTAATTGGATGGGAAAAAAGTTCTGTCCTACCTTGTAGCTTTGGTCTATTAGTGAAAGATATCTACAATAATCCTATTGGCAAATTACTAAAATTGTGAAAAAAAATGAGGTTGATATAGCACCAGAAATAATTTTAAGGGGCTGCAGGGTAACACTTCTAGCAGACACTGAATTAGTCTGTATTTTGTACAAAATTCAGAGCATAGAGGCAAGAGAAGGAATCTGAAATAAAGATGAAACTCTTGCCACTGATATTCTATTATGGAAGTTCTGGGTCCAAGGCAGTATGAGCTGTATCCCTGTGGATTAGGTTAGCTGACATAGGACAAAAGAAAAGTCCTTATTTCCCATGTGGGTGCCCCTGAAGATCTTTGATGGATGATTCACAGAACCATGCTATTAATGCTCTGATAAGACCTGTGGCTATCTCCGACAGGTTAGAAATCCTGGAGGTCCATGGGTACACAGACCAAGGGACCATGAAGAAGAGGACACGGTCTTTGCCTAAGCATGGGCCCGGGTTGTTCTGGGAGCCAGTCTCCACCCCCATCCAACCAGCCCATGAGTGTGAGGAAATGGCCCTGCCCACCACTGGGCAGGTGTTTGTTTACATTGGGTCACTACCAACTTACCAAGACTGAAAGCTCTTGCAGCTGTTGATAGTTATGCAGGTTATAAAGCCACTGTCCCAGTAATTGAAGTAGCCATCTCAAGATGGAGAGCAGAGTGTTTTCCTTAATACAGGGTACAGAGACAAGTCTAGTGTCTCTGACTCAAACGAGGGCTGTGATCCGATTGTAAAAATGAACTTTTATCTTTCCTACCAACTCCAAGCACAGAAGAATACAAGGGTGGGCTCATTTCCCAGCTCGGGGCCCACACTAACACTTATTTTTCAGTAAATGACTTACGCCCCTATTGAAAGCATGTATCTTCTCAACTGTCATGCCCCTTACTGTGTTGTATCCCACATCACAAGTCTCATGGTGAACAAAGCAAAGGTGTGTGGATAAGAGTTTAGTCAACATAGGGTCTGAATCCCCAGGTATATTTGTAATGTGGAAATGCTTCTTCAAATCACAAGTGGGGAAACAGAAGAGCTCCTTTATTGATTCAAATTGGAGAGAGAAAACAAAGTTCACTGGGAAGAGCCCTCAAATAGATTCGTTTTCCAAATGAAAAATCTTTTAATACAAACCTGTGCATTGTTTGTAAAGGCGCATTTAAAACAGTGAGTGGAGGACAGTTTTTAAAAGCCCAAGTAACAAGATGTGTTCAATGACCTGAGAAAGTAAAAAAGCTAATTGAAAACTATTATGTACAAATTTTTAAAAATATTCAAAAGCATTTCAGATACCAAGAAGAGTTTCAAATGGAATATTTTATTGACATGTTAGTTGTCTTTTTAACATGTACACACACACTGACACACTCTGATTGATCTGCGTGGAACAAGGGTTGTCTAAATATCCTAAGGGAAAATGAAAAATTAAAAAATATATTAATTTTTCATTGTTATAGACAATTACACCCACATCACTTACAAAGCTATCACGGGTTCTGTCCAAGGAAGCAAAATGGCATAGAAGGAGGAAAGTTGTGGGTCAATTCAAAAGCGACATAACTGAGATCTCAACATGAGAAAGCTGACAAAACACGGATTTTTGCTGTGAATTTTCTCTTTGCAAAAGATGAAGAAAAGTCTGTCAGTGGGCAGTAAATAAGAGAAAGTGGTGAACTTTTGTAGTCAATTCTCACAGTATTGTGCAGGGGCATCAAGAAAACTGCTTAGTCCTTCTCTGGGACCAGTTTCAGAACTTTTCCAATCGCAATGGTCTTACCCTCATCTCTTAAAGTAAAACGACCCATCTGAGGAAAATCTTTGAATGTTTCAAGGCAGATAGTCCCTGCTGTCCTTAAACGGGCAATGCACACTTGATCTTGTTTCACGAAGCGGGGCCGTGTCTTACTTTTCTCTCCTGACTTTTTGTCTACCAAGGAGATTAAGGCTGTTATCTCAACTTCCTCAATACAAGTATGAATGTGCAGCACCGCATTATAGCCTGGGCAGATGATGGACTTGTGCTCAATAATCACTATCTGAACGTCAAAGGTACGTCCAGAATGGCACAGATTATTAGGGTCACAAAGTATGAATCCTGGAAGAATCTCTTCTTCTTCAATTCCCTTCAGTCTGATTTTAAGATTTTCACCTGGGGCTACATAATCAGTTTCAGCATCATCAGAAAGAATTCCAAGAACTTCCACATTGTGCTTGTTTGGCATCATCACAAGCTGCTGGCCCTTAAAAATGGATCCTGATTCCAGCTTTCCCAGGACCACGGTGCCCATATCCTTGTACTTATCCACAATTGGCAGTCTAATTGGTCCATCAATTGATCTGTTGAAGTTTGGCATATTATCCAAATACGGAATAAATGGTAATCCAGTGTACCAAGGGCAAAAATCTGATTGCTCTTTAATATTTGCCCCTGTCAGCCCAGAGCAGGGCATAAAGTGAATGTCCTTTTTGGGACTAAAGCCAACTTTTTTCAAAAAGGGCACCAGTTTTTCTTTACATTCTTCATATCTCTCGCTGCTCCAATTAACTGTGGGATCATCCATCTTATTAATAAGCACTACTAAATGTTTTACCCCTGCTGTTTTTGCCAACATCGCATGTTCTCTTGTCTGTCCACCTTTCTCAAATCCAGTTTCAAATTCTCCTTTCCTGGCAGAGATTACTAGTACAGCCAGATCAGCTTGAGAAGCACCACCAATCATATTTGGGACAAAACTCTTGTGGCCAGGAGCATCTAAAATGGTGAAATGTTTCTTTTCTGTTTCGAAATAGGCACGACCCACTTCTACTGTTTTACCCTTGTCTCGTTCTTCCTGATTTGTATCTAAGGCCCAGGACAAATACCAAGTTTCTCTGTTTTTTTCTTTAGCTTCTCTCTCATATTTCTCAAGTGTCCTTTTGTCAACCATTCCTGTCAAAAACATTATTTGTCCTCCAATGGTTGACTTGCCAGCATCTACATGCCCAATGAACACCACATTTACGTGCTCTTTTTTAGGAGCACCTGAGGGCACGAACACAGATTTAGATTTTCTCATTTCCTCTTTCTCCATTATTTCCTGGCCACTTTCTTCTGGGGGCCCTGAATCTCCCAAGGAACTACCCCCTGGCTCAGCTTCACTTACTTCTTTATTGTGCTCCCATGACTCTTCTAGGATCATCTCCACCTCTCCATTTTCTACAACAGGTTCTGAAAGTTCCATGGTAACGGCTGAATTGGAACCTTCATGCAACACTAACTGTTCCTCTTTGGAATGTTCCACAGGTGCCCCCCGTCCCAGCTTTTTACCTTGAAGGTCGCCCGCGCCGGTGCAGGTTTCATCGATGTTGGTGATGTCGGCCGTGGGGGTTTGCAGCTGGGCCGGGCCCCGCAGAAAGGACGGCACGAACTCCGCGGCGTGTACGTTAGGCACGAAGGGTTTGGCATTGACGTTGAGCTGACGGCTGAAGGCCGAGCTGAGATGCTCCTGCTGGGCCTCGGCAAGCGCCGAGGAGGCTCGGTCTCCGCTCGGGGCCGAACCCGGGGCTTCCATGTCCACCTGGTCCCAGCAGTCGGGCGCGGAGTCGCTGCTGCTGCTGCCCGGATCCATGGTCTGAGGACCTGATGGGTGGCGGGGAGGGAGCGGGGTTAACACGCCAGAAAGGGCGGGCTACGCCGCCAAGGGGTAAGGCTGCAAGAGCGAAGTGCCAAGGGGAAGCGACGCGAACCTTAGCGGCAGCGCAGTGGCAGCTAAGTCCCCCAACACTGCATTCGCAACTGCGGCAGCAGCAGCAGATATGGCGGATCAACCCTCTCCTCTTCTGTGTGAGCGGATCTCCTCCCCCAAACCCCAACCACTTCCGACTCCTCCACCGCCGACCCAACGCGGGGCGTGGATTGACCCCTCGCTGCCATCCGTACGCTCGGCCTCCTTAGTTCTCAGCCATGGGCTAAGTCCAAAAGTAGGATTTGTAAAACGAAATTTTCCATTCATTTTTGTTCACACGATCTGGGAGAGCAATTTGACGCTGTAATGATTAAACCTAGACTGGCACACCTGATTTACAATTCTACTCGAAGATCCAAGTAAAAACGGAAATTGCTATTGAACAAATGGAGGCAGGAGATGGGTTAACTAGCCAGAAACCCAGCAACCAAAGGAAGACATTAGTGACTAGAGAGGCACTCATGAAATACATGAAGATGTAGCTGAACCTAGGAAATGCGACATAAGATCACTCATTAATTTGAATCCCGGAGGCTTTTTGATTTTTCCTTTTTCCAGAGGGGCCCTCCCGCCACCTGCCCCGTAACCCTGTAACTCTTGCTGATGGCTTCTGTGGTGTAAGGATGGGGTTTTAACTCGTTTTCATGTTAAGCACTGTGGCTGTGTGTGTGGAAGGAATGCCAAAGGAAAACCTAGGCCTAGTGAAGCTGCCCAACTTACAGCTTTTGTGCAGGTGCTTGAACAATGGCTACCCCTAAAATGCTGTGTTGGATCACACAGGCAAGCACTGGACTCAGATCACTTGTATTCTAACCAACTGTATCCTGCCCCACTCACCAACAGCCCCCCCCCCCAGTACACCCTGGATCCACAGACTTTCTTGCCCCATTCTGGAGGCTTGGAACCCTGCTCACTGCTGCTATTGCTGGTACTGGATTTGTCCAAGAACAAATAAGTGTCATGTTGGAACCTTCCTCAGTTAGTGGTAATGACATGGGGCTGTGGATGTCAGCCTAATTAAACTGATTAAGACCCCTGAGATGAACAAAGTCCATAGACACTAATCAATAGAATCTCACCCTCAGTGAGAGTTTATAAGATTTGAGCCAAAGCCTGTAAATTATCTTAATTTAGATAAAACTGAAATAGAAAAAAAAAGATCTTGGGAAAATACAATTCGCAAAGTACAAGATAAGGTCATAAAGTTGGATATTAAATAAATCCAACGGGTCAAAATACTTCACAAACTGGTGACTGATTTATAACTTAGCAATTTTGTTCTCCAGAGTTTAGGATTAGAAAAAATGTTCTGTGTCTAACAGACCTGGACACTTCATGGTTTGGGTCTAGGGCTGCCACTATGTTACTAGTTCTGTGCTGTTCCCAAGCCATCAGATATCAAACCCCTTTATTCTTTTCCCCTCTGGTAATGGTTTAATTATTTGTTGTCACATAAAGAGAGTGTACATGTCTATTCACAATGAATAGGAAGAACTGAGAGGTTGAATGTGCAGAGAGACCCTTGGACAATACTCCACACATGTGCTGGAGCCTTTCTTGGGCATTCTGTAGACCTTGGATAGACTTAATAAAATGTCTCTAAGAGAACTTATCAAGCAAGGTTTAGGCAGTTGTGCTCACATAAGATTAGTACTAGCAAGGAAGCAGCACAGACCTGGGATGTTTGATTCACCTGGGTCAATTGAATTGATCATGAGAATGTTAACCTGACTACTATTTATTAATATCTCTGTTAGAGAACAGAGGATTTTTCCCTTCTAAAACCTTAAAGAAAAAATGAGAAATAGTGACAGGATGTCCTCACAAGCCATCATCCTTGGGGCTCAGGGCAGGGGCAGGTCCACCCAAGAGATAGAAACATTAACAATGTTTACAATGATAACAGGGATAATAAAATTAGAAAATAAAATACTCATTTGACTTACTGCATTTTTACATAAGTAGTCTCAGTACTGTCAACGCCAATATGATTAGAGAAGGTATCCACCTTTTTCCAAAAGGTATCCACGTTCTCATCGGGCACATTACAATTAAACTGCATCTATTTGGTGATAACTCACTTTGTTGAGTGTTTATAGTAGCAGGTCATATTTCAATTATTTTCTATGGGTTCTCTCATTTCGTTTTCCCTACCATTCTGTGAAGAAGGTAATCTTAAATCACTCTCTTTTACAGATAAGAAATGGATGTTTAGAGAGTCTGAGTGAATTATCCAAGGTTACATAGCTAGTAAATAGTGGACTTGGTGTTCAAACATGGACAAAAAGATTCTAAGGCCATACTGGCTTGTAGCATCTATTATATAACAAGAAAGGAATTGGGAGATTTGGTGAGTATAAATCACAAATGGAGGAAGCGGACAAAGTCTTATATTATCTTCAGAGAATGGAAATATGGATGAATTTAAGAGAGAAAGAATAATTCCATTGAGTTCTTTTATGAGGAATTATGTTTTCTTCCTGAAGTAAGAGATAACTGTGTGGAGATTCTGAGGGAAGATTGCAATAAGAAAAACGAGGAATGGGGGAAGATATAGAACAAACTTTTGGGGTATAGGAAGGTGGCTGACTTAGGAGTTGTAAAATTATTTTTTAAGAATTCCAATTAAACAAAACCATAATACATAAATACATAAACAAAAACATAATCCAGTACTCTGGGTTTGGAAATTCCCTTTTTTCTCCAACATACACCTAGCATCATCAAGCAGCCTAGAGCACAAGCCGAGTTCTAAGTTTCATCCAGGATTGAGGAATAGTAGTATTAGATGGGCTAAAAAGAGAGCAGGAAAATATCAAGGCACTAGTGAACACAGGGTTCAGAAGACTGTGTTGGATGCCTTATATTGGTTCTCTCAGGATATCTTTGAGGTCTGTTCATAAACTTGTCTCTCTATTTTAAAGCTTAAGTCTCCATTTTCTAGAGTTTTTACTCCTAAGGTTGCTAATGCTTTTACTGCTGTCAATCTGATGCACACAGATCAGATTTACTTTAAAGCCACTTTAAATGTAGAGAGATGTGGAGTAAGGCAGGCTTGATTTGGAGCCATGGATCCAGTTGAAGAAGTATCTTCACTGAGATAACAACTCTGGTAGACTTTCCTGTTTTTAGGTAGGCAACTAATACACACTATGCCTAAGCCAACAGTTGCACTGAAAATATACTGATTTTTCCCACTCCTCAATGGTGGCAGCAGTGACAGTTCCCCTTAGGGGCCAATTCTGACGTATGTAATCATCTTGAGAGGCCATGAATACACTTACATTTCCAGGCCCTATAAGGACAATATTTAAAAGCCTCTAACTCTCCAATTAATCTCTTGCTATTAACAGAGTTTTCTATTAACAGCAACCAAAAATTACTAGTAGAAGTGACAAAAAAGCTGGGTTCAAATTCAGGGTCTAGCATTTCAAAATATTTCCTTTGTTAAGTTTCTTTAACCACTCTGTGCCTCAGTTTCCTTAGATAAGTGAAGATAAATCCATACTCAAACGTACACCCTGGGGTAGAGGTGCAAGGATACATGGCAGGTACAAGAAACACAGAGGCTGAAGTTACAAGATAATTCAGCAGCTTCATTACTGCTCAGACCGCTACTATAGTAAAGTACATGACAGCAACATCAGTCATGGCTGAAATGCCTGAAAGCTAAGCCTCGGAGTATGCATAGAGAAAATAGCCTCATTTGAGTTTAAACTGGGGAAAATGTATCTCCATTCTAACGCAGTCTCTATGGCCTACACTGTCCACACCACACACACTGGGAAGTTATTCATCCAACGGTCCATATATTAGGTGAGAACAGAACTACAAAACTAAAGCCAATGAGGCAATCTCGTTATTTTCAGAAAAATTTGCACACAATTATGGGGAATAAGAAGAACATTGAACCTTCACCATTGATGATTGTAAACAAGAACCAAAACCAGCTACAGTAACATTCAAGGAGGCATACAAATAATAATTATGTGACATCATGGAAATATTAATGCTAGGTGGTTATCAAGTATTTTATATATATATATATATATACACATATATACAAAATAAAATGTACACAAATAAACATGTCCACCTTAAATTTACATAAAGTACTGTATCATTTACACATAAATAAGAAAAAAATATTGAAAAGAAACAAATATTAAAATAAAATTTGGGGAATCAATATCCACTAGAATTGAATTCCCTGATAGCCAGTTGCCGGAGTAGTCCTTCCAGAAAGTAGTCAAGTGTGGGTTAAAAGGAGAAAAAAGGATCCCTATATGTTAACACAATAGCCAACCAACTCCCGCATATAATCCGGTGATCCGTGTAAAAATATCACTGCCATCCCTAAGAGTACTGGGGTAAGGTCAGCGTGTTGTCAAATTCTCCCTCATTTGATCCAACATTTCTCACCTAGCAGCTTGTCTTCAAAAAAGTTTGCACATCCGGACATTGTATGATTTATAATGTTCTAACAATCTTTTGTGGAACCCATTTCATGTCGATACAGGAGAGCTAGCTCTTAGCCTCATGTTAGAAATCAGAAAATTGAAGTTTGAGGAAACGGAGGCTGGTCACCAAAGGGTCTTTGACACGACCCAGGTCGAACACTTGGCCTTCAACTTGCACAGTCATAACTGGAAAAACCACTGAGATGAAGAAGCAGAATAAAGACACTTGTTGATCTGCTGACAAACTACTCCCATAGGAGTGCTGGGACTGTGATAAGGAGGGGCTCTGTTAGGGAAAGAGGCAGCTGGGCTCTGCAAGTTTCTGGGAAGTAGAGCGATAGCAGATGATGGCACAGGTGAGCACAGAGAAAACAGTGTGAGTGAGACTCAATGGTCATGTGAGGAAATGAATTTTGGAAGCCAAAAGAAAATCAAACCCATGAGTTGAGGTCACTTGCCTCCCACCGCACCCCCATTAATGTAGAAAGATCCAACGAGGGAGTGAGTGTTAAATCTTCTGATCCCAGTGCAGTACTACTTGAATAACACTGAAGAGGGCAAAGGGGTAATGTCAGTTTCAAACATTTGTTGGAGGGGAGGCCACAGCAATATATTGTTATGACAGAACAACCAAGTATGCTATCAATACACCTCACTCAGTTCTTTGACATACTTTCAGCACACATTTACTAAGCGCCTGCTGAGAGCTCGCGCCTGTGCCGGCAGACTGAGATTGAGTCTGCGTCACTTAGGCACAAACTGAGTGAGTGTCAGTAAGAATCATAACTAAGATGGACCTAACTAAGCACATGAACTGCGATTAAATATCGAGACCACAGCGACTCTAAAGAGACACAGACCTCACAGTCACCATTACTAAATGCTAGGAAATAAATTCATTGTTTTGAAATTGGGTGAGCAGAGGCAAATGATGAAACA